TAGCCAGAATTACAGGCGCGCGCTACCACGCCTGGCTGATTTTTTGATTTTATTGTAGAGATGAGGTCTCGCTACCCAGGTGGGTCTCGAACAGGCGGGCTCAGGCAATCCACTCACCTCAGCCTCCCAAAGGCACCGGATTACAGGCTGAGCCACCGAGCCTGGCTTATGTTTTTTATTTATTTGATTGGGAGCTTTGGTTTACAAGCTTATTTTGAGTAGAAAGATTTTTGTTTATAACAGACAGTCTACCTTTCTCTCTATTGCATCCTTAATACCTAGACATTAAAAGTACCTCGCGTTAAGTAAGTAACAAAATGTGTGCTGGGATAAGAGACATAGGCAAAGCTGGCTGCAAACTTAACAATACTATTTCTCCCAAGGACACACTGTCCCTGGACAAAGTTATTGAATGGCAACTCTTTTCTTTGAGTGGCCCTTTCTTTCTTACTCAACTGAGTTTGTTCTTTAATTTCATGGCCTGCCAGAAATGTTGTTTAAAATCATATCAGTAAGGCTGGGCTCAGTGGCTCAGCCTGTAATCCCAGCACTTTGGGAGGCAGAGGTGAGTGGATTGCCTGAGCCCGCGGGTTCGAGACTTACCCAGGCAACTTGGTGAGACCTCGTCTCTACAATAAATCAAAAATTAGCCAGGCATGGTGGCGCATGCCTGTAGTTCCAGCTACTTGGAAGGCTGAGGCGGAAGGATCGCCGGAGCCCAGCAGGTCGAGGCTGCGGTGGCCGGGAGCGTGTGTGCCACTGCACGCCAGCCTGGGCGAAGGAGTGAGACTCCAACTCAAAAAAAACAAGTGTCTGGTCTTAACTTTTTAGTTTCCAAGGAACCAGGACACTTTGCAGTCTAGACCTCATGTTGATTTATTTTTTGCTTCATTCAAATATCACCTAACATCCACCTTTCCCTGAAATCCTTTACTAACTATATACAATATTTTCCTTTGTTTAGAGAGATTTCTGACAGTTCCTCTGGTGTACTATATACCTCGTTGCCATGAGCCAATAAATCTGACTCTGTTGAACTACAATGATCTTTGTTGTTCCTTGTGATAGTTTCTTGATTAAGCTAAGGATGAGTTTCACTATTTTCTGTCTAGAAAAGCATACCCTAGAATGGAATTTTGGAGATACTGGCTCATAACTTTGGGGATATTGCAGAGCTCTCCATGAGACCAAGAGAAAACTTAGTTCAGATCCTATTCGAGAACTGAATTTGTTCTCCCTTCTCCCAGGACCCCTGATTTTCCATAAAGCCATGGCCCAGGCAGAGTGGACAGCAAGTCCTTCTGGTGGGGAGTATTGTTTATCCTCATCATTCTGACTCTTTGGCCACCACTACTGGCTTCCTGAGCCAGCTCCCAGATGCCTACGGTTTCCACCTTTTACTATTCTTAGTTCCTGTTCTGCTTCTGGTTCACACATATGTATGTTCTTTTTAGCTTGACTATGCCTATTCAGTTTTCTGTTTATGGTGTATCTATCTTTGCTATTGGTTTTCAGCAGGGATCAGGGTTGAGGTGAAGTGATAGAAAAGCAGCTAAAGCCGGGCTCGGTGGCTCAGCCTGTAGTCCCAGCACTTTGGGAGGCTGAGATGAGTGGACTGCCTGAGCCCGCGGGTTCGAGACCCGCCTGGGCAATTTGGCAAGCCCTCATCTCTACAGTAAAATCAAAAATTAGCCGGGCGTGGTAGTGCACGCCTGTAGTTCCAGCTACTTGGAAGGCTGAGGCGGAAGGATCGCCCGAGCCCAGTAGGTCGAGGCTGCGGTGGCCGGGAGCGGCCACTGAACTCCAGTCTGGGTGACAGAGTGAGACTCTAACTCAAAAAAAAAAAAAAGAGAATAATACAACCCAGATTCGGTGGCACAGCCTGCAATTCCAGCACTTTGGGAGGCTGAGGCGAGTGGATTACCTAAGTCCGCGGGTTCGAGACCAGCATGGGCAACTTGGCAAGACCTCATCTCTACAATAAATCAAAAATTAGCCAGGCGTGGTAGCCCACGCCTGTAGTTCCAGCTACTTGGAAGGCTGAGGTGGAAGGATCGCCGGAGCCTAGCAGGTTGAAACTGGGGTGGCCATGAGTGTACCACTCTGCACTCCAGTCTGCGTGATGAAGTGAGACTCAAACTCAAAAAAAGAATGATACAACAAGCTATCCAAAATGAATTTAGTGTTTAGACTTGAGTTTCATCTCCAAGATATCACTCATTATGTACAAGTATATTCTAAAATCTGAAACACTTCTAGCTCCAAGCACTTTGGATAAGAGACAGTCTATCTGTATTTTGCATATGGATATCCAGCTGTTTCAGCACTGTTTATTATAGAGACTGTTCTTTACGTCATTGAATGATCTTTACCCCATGTCAAAAATCAATTGACCATAGATGTCTGGGTTTATTTCTCATCTCTGTGTGTATCCTTACAGCAGTCGTACACTATTTTTGGTTTTTGTTTGTTTTTTTTTTGAGTTGGAGTCTCACTCTGTCACCCATACTGGAGTGCAGTGGCCACTCCTGGTCACTACAGCCTCGACCTGCTGGGCTCCAGTGATCCTTCCACCTCAGCCTTCTGAGTAGCTGGAACTACAAGTGTGCGCTACCACGTCCGGCTAATTTTTAATTTTATTTTATTGTAGAGATGTGGTCTCGCCAAGTTGCCCAGGTGGGTCTCGAACCCACGGGCTCAGGCAATCCACTCACCTCGGCCTCCCAAAGCATGAGATTACAGGCTGAACCACCAAGCCCGGCCACTAGGTCTAGATTTAAGCTTATCATTTTATTAGTTTTTTCTTGTTTCTTCTCTCTAATTTTTGTTTCTCTAGTTCCCCTTACCTACCTTCTTTTGAGTTTTTTGAACAATTTTGGTATCTCATGTTAATTAGTTTATTGTGGTTTTTTTTCTATATCTTTGTATAATTTCCATGATCTTAGTATATGAGAGATCATACTTCCAACTGAAAGTGTTACAAACTATACACCCTTCTGGTGTTCTCTGTCCCTCACTTTTTAAAATCACATTCAAGCCGGGCTCGGTGGCTCAGCCTGTAATCCCACGCCTTGGGAGGCTGAGGTGAGTGGATTGCCTGAGCCCGCAGGTTCAAGACCCGCCTGGGCAACTTGGCGAGACCTCATCTCTACAAGAAATCAAAAAATCGGCCGGGTGTGGTAGCGCGCACCTGTAGTTCTAGCTACTTGGAAGGCTGAGGCAGAAGGATCGCCGGAGCCCAGCAGGTCGAAGCTGCGGTGGCTGGGAGTGGCCACTGCACTCCAGTCTGGGCAACGGAGTGAGATTCCAACTCAAAATAAATAAATAAATAAAATTTTAAAAATCACATTCATCAACATCATTCAGAAAGAGTATAGTGGCTCATGTTCATAAATTCTTTGCCTATTCCCCCTGTATGGACTGACCTTAGTGATTCGTTCTAACAAATAGAATGGAGGTTGTGTGATTACAAGATTAGATTAGAAAAGGTAATACAGTTTCTAACAAACTCTCTTGGGACCATATAAAAAGTCTAGCTACAGGCCAGGTGCAGTGCCTCACGCCTGTAATCCTACCACTTTGGCAGGTCGAAGTGAGAGGATTGCCTGAGCCTATGGGTTCGAGACCAGCCTGGGTAACTTGGCAAGACCTCATCTCTACAATAAATCAAGAAAAATTAGCTGGGCGTGATGGCACACACCTGTGGTTCCAGCTACTTGGAAAACTGAGGTGGAAGGCTTGCCTGAGCCCAGCAGGTTGAGGCTGCAGTGACCGTGAGTGTGCCACTGCACTCCAGCCTGGGCAACAGAGTGAGACCCCGATTAAAAAAAAAAAAAGTCTGGCTACCCTGTAGCACCCATGCTAGAGAGACCATGTGGAGACAGTCCCAGCTATTCTAATCTTTTAAGCCCAGGTACAAAACATGTGAATAAAGTCACCTTTGGGATAATCTCAGCTCTCACCAATGTTTGACTACAATTTCATGAGACATTCTTTTTTTTTTTTTTTTTTTGAGTTGG